TTATTGAAGGAAGAAATTATTTTTATGTGTGTGCACCAGAAGAGGAAACCATAAATCTCTAAATGACCAAAGTGGGATTATTAGAAATTTTGGAATAATTAGAGGAGGTCTCATTCAGTACATGGAAGTAATAAAACTATTAAAGTAGGAATAATATCAACAGCAACACAAAAATGTTAATACAATCATCATTGACAAAAATTATCCCTACTATATACTTCATTCGTTTCTACATTAATTTTCAAAGTGCTGTTAACATAATGATTGGAATGATAATTGGAATCATAAATTCGTATTCTATAAAGCAGGAATGTTTTTTTTTTATGTTCTGTTTCTCACGAAAAGGGATATCCTGTGATGTTCAGAGAACATCGTGAGAACCAAGGGAAATAAGGTAGGAATTGGTGTTTTTCTTAAATTTCTGGAGGTTATACGCCTCGGGGAACACCTCCCTAGGCAATGTGTTCCAGAGCCTCGCTGTTCGTTGGATGAACGAGTCTTTGGAAAAAGAAGTTCTGCAAGTCTCCAAAGTGACCACGAAGAAGTGCGTGGTGAGATACAGTAGGCCCTGGTTAATCTCGCGGGGACTGCCAAGGCAGGAACAATTGTTGATATTTCAGAAGAGCATCGTCCATGAAAATATCTATAAAATAGAGTCAGATCGCCAACTTTTCTACGGTGTTCCAGAGAAGTGAGTGAGTATGTGAGCGTGGCATCACCCACGAGACGAATTGCCCTTTTTTGGACAGAACCCAACAGTTTCAGGGTATGTTTGGATGCTGCACTACAAATATGGAAACAGTATTCCAGGACAGGTCGGATCTGTGCCTTATAGATAAAAGGCAGCTGACTCGAAGTGGAATAGGTCCTGGCCCGAAACAGAAAACCAAGTTTTTGGGATGCATTGATCTCATGTGATTTTCCCAAGAAAGGTTATTGCTGATAGTAATTCCAAGCATCGATATGGATGACTTCAAAGGTATGGTTACTCCTGACAAGCTTATGTTGGGCACACTGAGATCGACTCTTCTAAAGAAAAAGCAAGCTTGTGTTGTTTTCGCATTGAATTCTACCAAGATATTGGATCCCCATTCGAGAATTGTTGCCAAATCCATAATTATGGTGTCAACATTTCTCCCTAGTTCGTTTCTGATTTGCCTGATGGCTGGTATTGGAGCCCTGGAAGAGAAGGCGGTATGAAGGGTACTATCATCCGCGAAGCTGTGTACTAGACATGAAGTTGCTTCCAGCAAATCGTTGATATGGAGTAGAACTAGTGTTGGTGCTAGAATTGATCCTTGTGGAATACCAGCATCTATGATAAGAGAGTCAGATGAAACTCCGTCGACCACTACATGGAGAGACCTGTTTGAGAGAAAATTAGCTAGCAGAGAACATAGCTGGGGAGGCAAGCCATAAGATGGTAGTTTGGCGAGAGGTTCGTGGTGTCAGACTCGATCGAATGCCTTGGAGGTATCAAGTGCTACGGCTAAGGTTTCACCATATTTTTCAATAGACTGCTGCCAATTATATGTGAGACGTAAGCGAGCAGGTCACCTGTTGATCTCTGATGACGGAAGACATATTGCCTATCCTTGATAATACCTAAATGTTCCAGATATTTCATGAGCTCGATGTTGATAGCTTCGTCCATGATCTTTGGAATAATAGATAGCAGTGCGGTCGGTCTATACTGAAACTATTTGTAGTTTTGTTCAATTTGATACAGTGATGTTGAAAATCTCAGAACATATACATCAGTGGGATATGAAAAATAACCCGAAATAACTACTTCCCATGAGCCTGAAGGAGTTGGTCATATAATATCTGGGATACCATGAAGTAAGATCAAATAAAGGTAAATCATGAAAATTCAGGGAGAGAAATCAAATGTGGAAAACTATATCTATTTCATTCTGCAATAAATTCCAGCCTACAATAAATAGATTATTTTTGAGTTTTTGTTGCAGCATTGATATATTTTTCAGAAATTATCGAACGGAACAGAAGTACTCTATATTTTGCAAATACAGTACCTACCTAGTTAATGCAATAATTGAACTTGTGATAAATGATAATTATTTTCAGTAGTTTGGCAGTAGCGTAAAAATGTTGATAAAGTCAGTAATAGTTGAAGTAATTTCGAAAACGTGCATTATTATCTTGTACAATTATTTTCACCCTAATTGATAATGGAACAGAAACTATATCTACCGAATATATCATTACTGAATGTCTACTCAGTCCAAGGACATTTTTCAGTATAGTTACTGATAGAATTTTGTCCCTCATAGTAGAAATTCATCAAGGAGAAAATATTAATTCAATCAACAAAATATCTTGTCATAGGGCTGTCCCAAATTCGAGGTATCATCAGGACCTCGGTAACCATAACACACAAAGTCGGTTAAATTAGGGCGAAATGTGGCCTCAAACGTTCGGATATTCCGAATACTTCCGAAGATATTTAATGGAAAAATCCGAATATCCACGATATCATTTCTATTTTTTTCCACTTCACTTGATGTGATATGACAATAATAATTTTCCTAACAAGTGCGAAAAGTTATACTTTCCCGCACGTGAATGCAGTTGAGCAAGCAAGATTCGACGTTTCGTTTCCTCATACAGTGTGACACACTTCTAATGGAACCACCCCTGTATCTCACGTAATCGTTGGGTAAGGATCCTGAAAATTGCTGGAGGGAGAGACATACCAAAAATGCACTCTATGACCAAGTGGGGTCATCTTCAGTGATATACACTGCTCGCCAACAGCCATGAAACTACCCCAATTTCCGGAAAATGATATTAGGAGTCAAAATAGGTCGAATATCACTTCAGATTTGGAATTAGGACGCCCAATTCACTAACTATTCAAATTTTTCCTGGGAAATATTCAGTTCGGAAAAATAAAATTTTGTCGCATTTTTTATGGAAGCACCCCCGTATCTCACGTAATTGATTCTATCTTTGGGCTTTCTCTTCCTCCGGCAAATTTCAGAACCCTACCTCAATAATTACGTGAGATACGGGGGTTCTTCCATGAGAAGTGAGACAAAATTTAATTTTTCTGAACTGAAAATCTTCTAGGAAAACTTTGAATAGTTAGTAACTCGGGCGTCCTGATTCCGAATCCGACGTGATTATCAACCTATTTTGACTCCTAATATCATTTTCCGGAAATTGGGGTGGTTTCATGGCTGTTGGCGAGCAGTGTATATCACTGAAGATGACCCCACTTGGTCAAAGAGTATTTTTGGTATATCTCTCGCTCCAGCAAATTTCAGGATCCTTACCCAACGATTACGTAAGATACAGGGGTGGTTCCATTAGAAGTGGGTCATACTGTATAACACTAATGATGATTTTTTGGTCTGAAATGTCATATAATGGGCTTATATCACAAAAAAATTTTATTCCATAATTCGATAGAACTCACCCAAACTAGCTCACCACCGCAAACCGTTTCTTGCTGTGAGCTCCCACGTTTTATAAAAAATTATTGAAATCTCCGATTTTTCGGACCTCTGAAAACGAGGCGATGATGTGACTTCAAAACCCTAATACTGAAACAGGACTATTCCAGACAGAGATGAATGATACTTAATTTCTGGCAGAGTGAATTAGCGCGAGATCACAGTTGGAAGAATTAATTTAACAGTTGCCTCAGTCTCCGTCCGGAGTTTCGTATTTTCTTTTAACTATGGCGAGATGAGGTTTCTACGTCATAAGAGTGTCCGTTTTCAGATGGTACTATTATTTATGTCCAAAAATTGAACATTCCAGTGAATTTTTCGATCGAATTAGGTCGTCAATCATCATTTATGTATGAAAGGATCATTATAAACATGGTTTGAGTTGAAAGTTCTACCAAGGTGTACACGCCCATTCTGAAGTGTGATATGTCATTAGTTTCAGAATTGGAATCAAAATGTTTTTGACACAAGTCGGATCACAAATCTATTATCACCATTTGATACAGTGGAAAAAGTGACAATGATAATATAAAACTCTTTTTTTCTTCAAGCGATCGTGATTCACCGTATACCTGCACGCAATTTGGTTTGGGAAGTGCCATTTTCCCGAACTAGTGCGGGAAAAAATTTCCCGCACTAGTGTGGGAAAATTTTCAATCATCAATTTGAAATTGTCGAAGTGACAGACACAGCGTTACTGTCATTTTCGATTCAGTGGAAATTCCACAATGTGATCAAAAACTTCTAGCTAGAGGGATTCGATACAGATGCGTTATCACCAACGAAGTCTTAAGAAAGGTATGAGAAGCTATATACACGCGTTTTATTGGATGATGCAACAATAAAGAAATGAAAATACCGAATGAAGAATAGGTATTATGGCTCATTTCATAGAAGTGTCTGAAACCTAGAGACCAAACTCCTTATGTGCCTGCTGGCTTCCGCAATGAACCAACATAATGCGTCAAACTGTAAGTTCACAACAGCAATTACAAATAATTAGTAGATAGAGAAAATATATCTCTTGTTAGTTGTTCTCATTTGCTTGAATAATGAATTGAACGAATCAATCAATTTCCTACGCTTGTAGAAAAAATATTGTTCCTAACTCATACGGAAAGTGTCTTTCCCGCACTCGACTGCTTGCCCGAACTCCGCTTCGCGTCGTTCGTGTCAACGGCAGTCGCGTGCCGGAAAGAATAACTTTCCGCACTTGTTAGGAAAATTACTATTACGTAAACGCGCTGGGGTGGGAAAATTTTCTGGCACTGGGAAAAAATTTCCCGCAGTCTGCGGGAAAATTAATCTTCCCAAACTGAATTTCGTGCGGATATATAGGGTGAATCACGCACGTTTGTAGAAAAAATAACGTAAATCCCCAAGAACTGAATTTGAGACATACTAGGGGTTGATACGTAGATCTACAACCCCCCTCCTAGACCTCAACAATTTCCTCCCACCTGATTGGCTGCCGCGCGAGCCAAATTCCTCCAACATAGCGGGTACCACAGCGGGTACCATAAAGCTCGCGGTACTATCAAGTTGAAAGCCAGCAGCTGCGGCCAGTGACGTGCTCTCAAATTAGTGCCCTGTATATTTCCCGCCCATGGTTCAAGTGATCATAGATTTTGATTTGGCTTCGTGGTAGCTGAGAGATAGATTCCTTCCATTCAACAGTAAGTTTGAGATTCATATGATTCTTTGGTTTTTTATTTTGTTTATAAAATTTTTTTGTAATTCTGAGGGCACGAAAATATAAGAAGTCATACTTTTATTTCATCAAGACCCAGCAGATATTTTATTTTTATTTTCAAAACACAGTAGACTGTTTGTGATAGTTTTGCAGAAAATGGAAAAAAGAATTATCATTCCTCTATACTACTGAAATTCCACTGCCCACATATTTTCATTCATGGTTTTTTTTTAATAGTGACCCTGATACATGCTTAGTCATGCCATAGGATTTGTTTTCTGAAACCAAAATTTCGTTTTTTCTTCTGATGGATTGAAATATACCGGAAGGTAATTTGCCGTTGGTTTGAACATTGTTGTTTTGCTATTGTGCGTATGCTCAACATAATAAGGATGTTCGTCATTAAATGGCGAATGAGCTGAAATAATTTTTTTTTCAATAATAATCAATAATTCATGGATTTCCAATCATAATAATTACACTTTACGGTATCTCGATTGATTTATTTCTTTGACATTGAAACATAGGTTATGATCCTCTAGCTCATTATTCATTTTCTGAATGTCTAGTAATTATCCAATAATGTCCCGACAAACATTAACTCACGGTGTACTGAAGACCCATTACATATTGCTCCTGTAACTAGATTTGGCCAAACAAAGTAGGTACTGTACGGAGCCATTATAGAAAAAAATACCCTAAGGGACTCTTGACTTGACTTGAGTCAATCAACAGGCATGATGGACTTTTGAATCCCCAACAATGTCCCTTCTGACCTTCTGATGAATTCTAGGGTGTCAGCCCACTCGAGAGAGTTCATCTCTTCACTCTGCAGCGTTTCAGTTCCAAAGATGATGAATCTAAGTCTGCTGAACGCTTCACATTCTCCTAGAAAGTAAAAAACGTCTCTTCTTCTTCCTCACATCTCTGACATGTTCACTCCATATCAACGATTTGTTGGACGCAACTTCATGTCCAGTACACAGCTTCGCGGATGATAGTACCCTCCATACCGCCTTCTCTTCCAGGGCTCCAATACCAGCCAAGCAAATCAGAAACGAACGAGGGAAATGTTGACAACATAAATATGGACTTGGCAATAATTTTCGAATGGGGATCCAATAACTTGGTAGATTTCAATGAAAATAAAACACAAGCATACCTTTTCTCTAGAAAAGCCGATGTCACTGTGCCCAACATAAGCTTGTCAGGAGTAACCATAACTTTGAGAACATCCATTTCGATGCTTGGTATTATTATCAGCAATAACCTTTCTTGGGAAAATCACGTGAGATCAATTGCTAAAAGTGCATCCCAAAAACTCGGTTTTCTGTTTCGGGCCAGGAGCTATTTCACTTCCAGTCAGCTGCTTATGATCTATAAGGCACAGATCCAACCTGTCCTGGAATACTGTTTCCATATTTGGAGTGCAGCACCCTTACATACCCTGAAACTGTTGGATTCTGTCCAAAAAAAGGCAATTCGTCTCGTGGGTGATGCCTCGCTCACAAACTCACTCACTTCTCTGGAACACCGTAGACAAGTTGGCGATTTGGCTCTATTTTATAGATATTTTCATGGACGATGCTCTTCTGACAATTGTTCCTCCCTTGGCAGTTCCCGAGAGATTGACCCGTCGAGATGAGGCTTCGCATTCTTTCGTGGTCACTTTGGAGACCTGCAGAACATATCTTTCCGAAGATTCGTTCATCCAACGAACAGCAAGGCTCTGAAACACATTGCCAAGGGAGGTGTTCCCCGAGGCATATAACCTCCAGAAACTCAAGAAGAACACCAATTCCTACCTTATTTCCCTTGGTTCTCACGATGTTCTCTGTCCATTACAGGATATCCATTTTCGTGGGAACCAGAACATGAAAAAAATTTTGGGTTCTCTTCTATACCTATTATCGAGAGGTGTCTGCTGCGTTTGCAGTAACCGGTCAGGACTCCAATTAGGAGTTTGACTCCTTGTCGTACTTGTGAGGGGTTGTTACCAAGTTTTCTGCTTGCCTGCACCCCACACAGTCCCTCCAGTTCTCTTTGAATTTTCCCCACATCCACTCGTTCAGTGCGGATGAAATTTGGCTTCTTGTGATGCCTAATGCAGGTCCCATAGTACTCTCCATACAGCGTTCTCTTCTAGAATTTCTATTTCTTCGCAGAAAACTAAGAACTTATGACGAATGCACGTCAACGATGTCAATGAAGATCTTGGCTAAAATAACAGCCTGAGGAACGAACAACCTAAATCAGAAGGGGTGAAAGAATTTACAGTCACAACTCCACCACATAAACAATTCAATAATGACCAACGTTCATGGACATAGACATGTTTCAAAGGATTAATCCTTCATCATCAGCAAAATTATAAGAAGATGAAAATCTGTTAGGAGAAACAACGCTTACGTTAGTTTTCAAGTATTGTTACAGAATCTAAATATACCTTTCATTATTAGTGGAAAAAGATTACTAAAATGACAGGAGAAAACTATGTTTAACCTCGCATAGTGCGGGTGATGGGTAACTGTTAGGGAACATATATTATAACAGCTCTATAAGAGCCTAGTTTTCAAAAATTGTTTGTTATAAAGCGAATACTAGAATGAACCAACATGTAGGACTAAATTTGTTGAATTACAAATGACAATTGACAATAATGACGTTGAGGACAAAACACAACATCAGAATGACACCAGTCAAGTCTAAACCAAGGATTAATACGAAGTGACATAGAACACAGAATAGAATTATAGTTAAATATTGAGGCAGTGAACAAACGCAATTCGATAGTCTTGAATTATTCAACTCCTTATTATTATTATGCTACTGTTCTTTGGTCTGTCACTTCGATTCAAAACATTCCTTGGTTTTGATTTGACTGGTGTCATTCTGATATTGTGTTTTGTCCTCAGCCAAGGGAGGTATTATTTATTGATTTCTATTATGTTAGCTGTCAAACGGTGAAGTGCCACTTTTTGCCTGGTCGGGCATAAATTACTATCATGCCGAGTCGAAGGATGCCCTCGAAATAATCACTTAGTAAGCTTTGGAAATTGATGTGAATGAACAGAATAGAAAAAAATTGTAGGATTTCCCAATTGCGATATGTAGTAATCAACACATCAGGAAGGTAATAAAATGGACATGAACTCATCAATTTTTTTGTAGGAAATACCAAAAACCTCATCACTGTTCATTCGTTTTCTTATTTTTTGAAAACTAATGAAGGTGCTGCGTCATATACCTAAAGATATCTGAATAACAGCGAAAAAATGCAAGAGGTGTTTTTTTGTGATATTTTAGGAAATAAAGTTCATATAAACATTCGTTTGTGATACAGGGTATTAATATTTCCATGAAAAATATTTCTTCTATTCATTTCTCAATTGTCTTTTCATCAATTTCAATAAAACGTTGTGGTTTTGTTAATAGTAATATGTAGCTTCTTCCAGTGCAATTAGATTTTAAGTGAATGCCATTGTATACCACCGGTTATTCTGAGTTTCATGATTTTATTAGATTGAACTATTGCAATAACAACTTTTTCATCATCTGTGTCATTTTTGTATCTAGCTTAGTTTTTGAGGAAACAATAAAAATTTGATTTGACTCCTAATTTTAATGAAGGTGTTTTCAAGACTTCCATTGAGATTACTCAATAACCCCGATTAGAATCATTTTGAAATTTCGGGGCCTTCTCAGTCTCCTTCCATACTGAATTTTGGCACCATAGAAGCTTATACAGAGGGGTTATAAATAAAAACAATTAATACTTCAAACTTCAACATCCTGTATCTCAAAAACGGAGCAAGTTAGGACATATGTTTATGTTAGCTTTATTTGCTAGAATGTCACAAGAAAACACCCCTTGAATTTTTTCGCTGTTATTTAGATACACCCTGTATATGTAAGCTAGAAAAACTGTTTATGGTGTTTCTCAAATAAATTATCGGAAATTAATGAATCATGTTCAACTAATATACGTATAGGTACTTGTACGCAACTTGAGCTAATATTGGGAAACCATTCAATAACTACTATTCGACCTTCATCTCGTGAAGAAATCTCAAAATGATTTGTATAAATACACAAACCACAGGGTCACTCGTATTCAATCTTAGTGATATTTGAAGCAAGGCAGTTTTTACTAACAGTGCATCCAGAATCTTTTGGAAAATATGTCGTCATAATAGGTATTACGTAGGTATAGTCGATTCGAAGTCAGTTGGAACACCTCGAGAAAAAACATATACATGGTATGTATACTATCTCTATATCGAGAATCAGTCGGAAGAAATACATGAAAATATGCGTGCTAATATTTCAGAATACGCTCTCTTCATTTAGAATATTTTCAGCAATGCAGTGTTGCCGCTTCTATCAAAAAGTAGCAACAACTTTGTTATTCCAAATAGAATGCCCTGTATTTTATTGCATCTTTAGATTCTCCCTGAGCTGATTTCATCAAAACATCACACTTGAGGTCTATCGGAAATGATGACAAAGATATAGGGTGTTCAAAATCGAGATTTTTCAACTTTAGGATTTGTTCATTATCGACCAAAACGGCTCACATGTCCCTATACCAACTTTTGATTACTGATATTCAATCGGAACAGATACAGGTTGATCAGAATTCTGAATCTTGAACCACCCTGTATCTTTCCCGATTTTATATCAGAAAATAGTGAATCAAGAGTTGAGATAGGGACATGTGAGCCGTTTTGAACGATAATGAATAGTTTCGACAGAAAAAAATCCTGAAGTTGAAAAATCTCGAATTTGAACACCCTATATCTGTAATCATTTTCGGTAGATCCCATCGATGGAATCAGCTCTTCAGGGAAAATCTGAAGATGTGATAAGATACAGGGTGTTCCACTTGAAATATCAATGTTGAGTCAGTGCACGTGGCAAACAATCACAGATTGGGTTTTTTCAATTCGAAAATTTTTCCACGCCCTGTATGACGAACATCAA